CGCTTGGTAATATTCTTCTCATTACTGTGCTGGCTGTAAGCGGCATAGCCTGCCTCTTTGGAGCATATTTGCTGTTCAGAAGGAACACATTTTGTAGGCATAAAATCAAAGTAAGTATATGACATTATAAACCTTTTTGTTTTGCCAAGAAAAATCTTACAGGTCTGAAAGATTTTTTTTAAAAACAATCATTGTATATCATTTTTACAATTGAAATATAAAAACTAATTATGAAAATAGAGTCGATGTAATTAAAATGAAAATTAGCACCTTTTCTTTACTTGCTTATTTTTTGCCAAAAGGACTAATCTGATACTAGTATTAACTATGAACATTAACAAAACGTCATGATAACAACATATATGTAATCCCGTTTAGACTGATAAGATACACTTTTAGCGTATGAGTCGCCACAAATATTAAAATTGTTTTACCAACACCCCATAACGAGATTATTAGAACTTCATTTCAGCTACGTTGGAGTCTTGATGTAATCAGCTTTAAGATAGCTTTCAAATAGGACTGCAACGATATATTGTGCGAAAATATAGATCGCAATATTTTGAATATCGTTCGTTACACAACATTACGATACATCTACGATATTTTCCGGATTTTATCGTTTTTTAATTAGGTTAACTCACATCCGTTCCAATATGGCGAGTGATAGCTCTTGCTCGGCATGAACGTTGAAAGATGTGAATTGTTTGAAACTTTAAGTCATGCCCATTTTGACCTAGTCTATTTCCCGTGTTAATATTGCCCTTAAAAAAAACGCAACATATCTTTTATCCTTGCTTCTACTGTTACTATATGTATCGTGATACGTTTGTTATCGTGACCACAGTATCGTGATATTGTCGTGAATTCGGTGTGTTATTCACACACCGTCACAACAAGTAGTTGTAAATGCTCTCAGCTCCTGAAATCAAAGACAAGGTGGAGGAAAATCACTCACGTGTTGTATGTTCGGGTTCAAGATGATAAGAGACCGCGACAACGCGTCACAGCGATGTTGTCGCGTAGCTCACGAGACTTCGTGTCGGCGCGGTCCACGGTCCAAGGGAGATAACTCTCCCAAAATTCACCACACTCCTCCCCGTTTTATGAAGGCCCCTCCTGGGGCCTGGTTATGGCCAGGAAGAAGTCCGTTGATGGGAAACTGTTGATGTAGATAACACATTGTCGCCTCCTAGAATTGAGCGACAAGTTGTTTAGTAACTCCTTAAGTAACAATATGTTAGTACAGTCCTACCGTACCCCTTTGGAGATGAGGTTAGTGGTGGAGGCCAGTGTTTGATTTAGGCCTCAATAACCACAGCTTCTAGTCTTGCTGGGCTTATCTCCCCAAGGAACACCACGGCTATGGATATAATCCACACAATAGGCACAGTCACCCCGTGCCTTGATAAGTATGATAATAGTCTCCCCGTGACAGGGCCCAATATCAGCTATGGAGTATGTGGTAACACTGTTGGTCAAACCGACAGTGTACTCCTTTGCAAATTGCATTGATGGGCATGCTGCCTGTAGACGGCCCCATTTAAGCTGTTTTCCTACCAATTACTGGTAAATGGAGCTGTCTTATCACACTAGGGTCCCAGGGAGTCAATAAAATGTTCAAGGAAAGAATGCCCTCCCAATTTGTATAAAGATGTAGGATGACTTGGTTTTGGAAGATAATAGGGAAGCTTAACCTCCCCTGCCTGTGGATGCCACAAACGAATCCGGGGGGTACTTCAGTGCCCCCCACTTTCAGGGAGGATCCTAATGGGAGAGTACCCCTAGGGTGGACTCAATGGAGCAATGGCTCGGTAGGCTAGTGGAATCACATCATCTACATCTTCTCCAAATCTCTGCCACTGTTGGTGGGCACGTCTGCAGTATGAGCATCCCCCACAAGGAAGGCTGTCGACCTGCGTGCCTGCTTTGTAACAGTTACAGAGTTCCTCATGAGTATTAGAACTGTATTTCAGCTACTTTGAAGTCTTGATGTAATCAGCTTTAAGATAGTTTTCTACTAGGACTGCAACGATATATTGTGCGAAAATATAGATCGCGATATTTTGAATATGGTACGATACACAATATGTTTTGGAGGTTACGATACACCTACGATATTTTTCGGATTTTATCGTTTCTGAATTCAGTCTACTCACATTCGTTCAAACATGGCGAGTGACAGCTCTTGCTCCTCATTAACGTCGAAAGACGTGAATTGTTTTAGACCTTGTCTATTTCCAGTTTTAATATTGCAACATATCTTTTATCTTTGCTTCTACTGTTACTATATGTATCGTGATACGTTTCGTATCGTGATCACAGTATCGTGATGTGTACCGTATCGTCATGGTAATGTATCATTGCAGCCTTACTATCAACTAACTATATATAACATGATAGCTGATGTGTTGTATGCTGAACTAACGTGATTGATTAAATGAATGGAATCAATATATCAGAGAAATTCATCGTAAAGTAACAGTCCTTTCTGTTAAAAATAGAACGAAATTATAACTAGTAAAATAAAGTAAGGAAACACCTATTTAAACATTTAATTGGTTTTGTTTGGTTTTGTTTTACGTCCTATTAACAGCTTAGGTCATTTAAGGTTTGGTTTTATTTGGTTTAACGTCCTATTAACAGCGAATGTCATTTACGGTTTTGTTTTATTTTGTTTAACGCCCTATTAACAGCTAAGGACATTTATGTACGTGCCTCCGTGTGTGTGTGTTATATATGCATGCATGTGTGTATGTGTGCCAGAGACAGGGTATGTTGGCGTATTCGCCTCCTTGTGACAGCGCGGATCGTATGCCTAATTATAGAGTTATCTCACTGAAATACTATGCCGAAGGCACCCCCTCCCGCATTCCGCCCGATCACATTTTACTGACAACGGATGAAACAGTTGTTGCCATTTCTCTCAATGCTGAACGTGAAACAGGGAATAACAAATCGCTGCAGAAAGTCAAAGTAAATATTTTAACGGCACCAAACATGTTTGGCCATTCCGTTCTTCTCTGACTCAGTTTTGGTATTAAAGGTAAACAAATTGATTAGTATGTCAGAATTGTTTTCGAAATACCTGTAGAAGTAACAATGTGCCTTTAAAACCCTACTCAACGTTAACAACAATTCATTTACATTTGTCTGCAACAGAGAATGTTTTCTTTGGAGTATGTTTATGTATACTGTTCCAGAATGATATGTTTACGTTGTTTGCCTTTCTGCTTCTAAAACTTATACTTTAAATAGGTGTTCGTATTTACGTAACCAAGTGGACTGACGCTGCTGGTGGATTATTAGTCCAGCTTGGCCGTTGCTTTGTAGCTCGAATTTATTTTGTAACAGTTCCCATGCAACACAAGTTAAAAATAGCTTATGTTTTGTAGACAAAAGTTATAAATGCACGTTATTAATGTACACGTGCAACTACGAGCAAGTCCCATCATTGTAACTCTCCCCGACTATGTTTATGCTCTTACTTTTTGTCAGTAGCGAGGCGGTACCAGGACAGTCACTTACAAACCTACTTATTTAATCTCACCTTTTAGGATACTTAACTTCGTCATACCCAAACCTTTCTGTCTTTGAAACACCCCCTTCACAAGTTTCTATATAATTCATATCAGTGTTAGATTTCACAAGATTTTATCATAAACACAGGGACCTTCGAATGTGTTACAGCTATATCTGGACCTACACTAACGTCTTCAGAGTAATTCTCCACATTTTAGGGCTTTAGATCAACTTTCGGTAAAGATTCTTTAATCCTTGTAAGATTTCCCGGCATACCTTTAGCACCTGCACATTATTATTTTTCCGTCTGCTTCAAGGAGACTACATGTTACATGTTTATTGTAATACAGTTTTATTCGTATAATATAACGTTAAATATATCATTTGTGCATTTTACTGTAGAGAAGGTGCTTTTTTGTATACATGTTCGATTCTGGTCAATCTTAAAATCAAACTGTTACATTTTATAAATAGATTTACGAATTTTCCTGTCATTTATGAATCTTCGAGTTTGTGATCAGCGCCAACTATAAACCTAGTCTCGCTCAACCAGACTCTTGTTGTCTGCGCCAGCTACTCCAAACAGAGAGTCTGGTCAAACCCAGTGCTACCGTTTTGTGAAATCATAACGAGGTTTACCACAACTCTGGATTATTATTGCATTGGTCAAAGGTTATTTCCAATAATTCATGAAGTTAACAAGGCTATTGATACAAGTCAAGCCAGATTACCTGAGTGAGAACCTGTAGTGTTTTGAATGGTGACAGGTAAAATCTCACTTGCTTTGCATGCTTTTTTCCAACCTCAGTCAGCCTTGTTGGCTTTGTGCTCAGTTCGAGAGTTGATAAATTTTCTTACATTGTTCTCGATAATAGTGAATACACGGGTACAGGAATGCATGTACAGGTACGTTTGTTTCATTAATTTCATTATTGTTTGAAATGTTTTAATTGGGTTGACATAATGTCCGGAAACGAAAGGAAAAACACTATCCTCTAGTGATAGTTATTTTAAAGAACGTGTTTGAACCGACTTTTGAATTACAAGTGACCAAGCGTCTTGTTGAACGAGACTAACTATAAGCCACAATATATTCCTAACAGCGCAGCCAGTCCATCCCTAAATAACCAGCCAATCACACCACATGTGTACCTCATAAAGATAGATGGAAAAGGTGTCCCTTTGACTGCAAAACACTTTGAAACTTGGGAATGGCGTGTGTTTTTGGAGAAAACGGGGTTCATGTCATTTGATTATTGATGCGGGAAAAGTTGGCGGGGTCGATTTTTCGACATCGAGAGCCTTCCTCCCCTTATATCATCAATGGGAGGTAGCATTCTTAATCGACACTTCTCAAACGTGTAGTATTACCCGTAACACATTTAGTTTAGGTCCAAATAACAAATGCTAAGATACCTGTGATCACAAACGGTTATGTGTAAGAGTCCCATTACAACAATAAATTACATCTGTTTCAGAAAAACAATGTTGAACAAGCAGATACAGATGACGGATGTCTGACTTTGGAGATAGACGCTACGGACGATGCAGTAGGGCACGAATGCGATGCTTCGACCTTAGAAATGTACAACAATTCTCCAGGGTACCGACAACATACTCCGACAATACAAACAATGGACGTTTCGTCAAGGTTCAAACACGATACACAGCCAATAGAGATTGTGGACGATTCGTCAAGGATTATACACGATACACCGACAAAATGTGCTATGGATCATTCGTCAATGTACAAACACGATACACAGCCTAAAGAGATTGTGGACGATTCGTCAATGTACAAACACGATACACAGCCATTTGATACTGTGATCGATTCGTCAAGGTACAGACACAATACACCGCCAATAGATCTTGTGGACGATTCGTCAAGGTACAAACACGGTACACCGCAAATAGAGATTGTGAATGATACGTCAAGGTACAAACACGATACACCGGGAATAGAGATTGAGGACGATCCGTCAAGGTGCAAACACGATACACCGCAAATAGAGATTGTGAATGATACGTCAAGGTACAAACACGATACACCGGGAATAGAGATTGAGGACGATCCGTCAAGGTACAAACACGATACACCGCCAATGGATCTTGTGGACGATTCGTCAAGGTACAAACACGATACACCGCAAATAGAGATTGTGAATGATACGTCAAGGTACAAACACGATACACCGGGAATAGAGATTGAGGACGATCCGTCAAGGTACAAACACGATACACCGCCAATGGATCTTGTGGACGATTCGTCAAGGTACAAACACGATACACCGCAAATAGAGATTGTGGATGATACGTCAAGGTACAAACACGATACACCGCAAATAGAGATTGTGGATGATACGCCAAGGTACAAACATGATACACAGCCACAACCTGCTGAGGACCATTCATCAAAACACGACACACAGCCATTAGAGCATATGAACGATTAGTCAAAGAACATACACGATACACCGCCAAAATGTGTTGTGGACGATTCGTCAAGGTACAAACACGATACACCGTCAACAGAGATTTTGGTTGGTTTGTCCAAGTAAAAAGCACGATACATCGCAAATAGATACTGGCGACTAATGTTAAGACACATATATTCTATGATTGTGATTATCGTATTTAACTCATTTTTTATGTAATGTGTTTGAATCTAGCTCTGACTATCGTGTTTAATTATTTTTTGCTGTAAATTGTTTGGATCTAGTTGTGATTATCATATTAAGTTAATTTTTGCTGTAAATTGTTTGAATCAAGCTTTGACTATCGTATTTTATTAATTTTTGCTGTAAATTGTTTGAATCTAGCTGTGACTATCGTATTAAATTAATTTTTGATGTAAATTGTTTGAATCTAGCTGTGAATATCGTATTTAATTAATTTTTGATGTAAATTGTTTGAATCTAGCTGTGACTATCGTGTTTTATTCATTTTTGTTGTAAATTGTTTGAATCTAGTTGTAATTATTGTATTTAATTAGTTTTTGGTGTAAATTGTTTGAATCAAGCTCTGACTATCGTATTTAATTCATTTTTGCTGTAAATTGTTTGAATCTAGCTGCAAAATGTATCTTTGAAGTTTGCATAGGAAAATGTACATTAGTGTATATACTCATATCGTATTTGTCAATTATATTTCATTTCTATACAAATTGTACGTAAACGTAGATTATCATTGTTAAAAACCTTACAAATTATTAACTTATGATATTATAGTCCGTATCCAACCTTTTTGGTTCATACAAAAATGTAACTTTGTTTTCATGCAATCCTCAATGTTTTATATCACAACTGTGCTTAGGTATTTTTAAATCTTATTTTGCTGTTTCATTATAATACATGTAAATCGCTTATGATATTAGAATTCGTATCAAACATTTTTGTTCAAACTTTTGTTTTTATGCATTCCTCAACATTGAATATCATAGCTCTGCTGAGGTACTTATGAATTGTATATGGCTGGTTCATGTTAATAAATAAACAAGCTTAAATTAGTATGGTTTGGAACTTTTCCGTCTATATCATGCTTGAATTGTCACATTTTTGGTATATAGGATTAGTCTAAAATATATTTGAAACACTCAATTAACTGTCAAAAATTCGAAAATAATAACTGATTTTCTACCACAGATTGTATGATGGAATATGGATATTATGAGTATCCCCATGATGCATTGCTGCTTGAATCGATCCTAATGGAAACCTCCTCGTCTATAGTAACCAAACTCCATCATAATAACCGCAAATGGCCGCCATATTAGTTTCAGTGAAAAGAATGCACGCATAAATATTTCAAATATTTACTTTATATTCGTATTAGCTTCTGAAAAAAGATATTCACAAATGCTAGTTATATTAACATTATCATTGCAAACATCACTATAAAGGGATGTAGAGAGTATTGTCATGCTTTTCACTGTCAGACCACGTTTTTCTCCCAACCTTCACATGTGTGTCTCCCGCTTTAGCCGGGAAAGATCAGCTTGTCACGCCCTAGGGGAAGATAGCCTCATGCCGTTTAGCACGTGTTCAATTGTGACGTCATTAAAATGCGTCATCGGTAATTGTGACGTCATCAAAAGTGAATGACGATATGCATACCTCACATGTATTTTTGTTTACAAACATGGCAGACTACTGTCTGTGGAGTTGTGAGTGAAAAAATAGGATTGGAGAAAAATAATCATCCCCTATCTTGATGGTGTAAAAGAGAAATCGCCAACCCCCGGGGTGATTTTTTTTTTTTTGTGTCTAACCCTCTGATCACACCATCAAGGTTGTTATAAGAGCACAGGGGGAAACTGCAAATAAGGCGTTGACAACAAATTACCTGATTAAACTTTTCATTGAATTTCGAAGACCAGTCACAATGCATAGAATGTTAAAACCCATTTACTGTATGGCAGTTTATATTACATTGTATTGACCTTAAGTAACCACTGGTTAATTTCTATAATAATATAAGATTCTTGCTTTTTTGAAATTATTCAATTTTTAAATCTCTTCTCGAAATAGTAAATATTTTAATGTTATACTTCATGAAGAATGTTAGTGTATTCCAATTTAAAAATAACTATGGCCACTTTGAAAAATTCAAAGAAGATATCTCCTTAGGTCATCTTAAATATAGTATAAAAATAACCGCTTGATAATTTCCCCTGACACCAGACTTTGACATTTTGACAGATAGATGTCTGATGTGGGTTCCTCTGGCCCTTACACCGGACTTTGACATTTTGACAAATAGATATCTGGTGTTGGGTACCTCTGCCCCTGACACCAGACTTTGACATTTTGACAGATAGATAACTGGTTTTGGGTTAGAGCGCACTGCTATAGGAAAACGTGGTATCGGAGAGTTTGAGTTGCTGACAAGAACAATCTATCTTGACACAACAAATACCTCACATATATCAATAAATGGATTATTTATTGACCAAAATCCTCCATTATTATCACCGAAAGCTGCTAAATTCCATTAGTTGAGTCCTCGGTTTTCAATCGTTCAAAATCTCGCACCTGAGCGACGCCATTTTGTCGGTCATAAGTGCCGCACTGATCCGGACCTAAAACGGAAAATTCTTGTTTAGAAGATTTACGGACCGACCCTTTTTGTTGATTAGTCTGTAGTATGAGTGAAATATATTGATACTCCCACAACATGGCTTTTGAACCAACTTCTCAATCTTTAGCAGGCAGCGGTTTATAAGCCATACAAGTGTTTTCCCTTTTTCGACATGTTTAAGGTCACAAACTAGTCAGGTTCAGGGCGGATTTGGTTGAGGAGCCTGACCCCTAAAAGGCGTGGCCCGACAATTCTTTAAAATTCATTTTAAATGAAGATAATGATGCGCATTTAGCGATGTTGAAGAAAAAGTCGGATAAATAGGACCGAGGCAATTGTACTGATTTGGTGTCGGCAATTCCGCCGAAAATACACAAGAGTAACTAACATATTCGCTTAGTGGACATATCTGCGGCCGACTGGACAACCGTCAAGGAATATGTTTTGGACGACCTTGCTTCATATTCCGAGGATGAAAAAAGAATTATACAGGCAGAAAACGGGGCTTAATAGAAGCATTAAAGGAAAGATGGTTGCTCGTACGCGTAGTTCTACTACCTAAGTAAATGGTGGCAACGCTTCACGTGTGCACCGTTCCTAGGGAGCCAATCAAAGTTGGGCAGCGGCAGCTTCCGTTCATTATTTTATTTTCAAAACATGGATTCGGTGGTACTCATATAAACCGAAGAGAATGTTTCTCGCGTGAAGGGTTTAGTCACTAGTGGAGAGATCGGCAAGTAGACAGGGCGCCACCCGGCAGCTCCAGAAGTCGTGAGGATTGAGTGAGAGCAACAGTTGCTTACATGATAAGTAATACGCCCTACTTGTATGACATTGACGAACTGTGGTCACACAAACTGTTTTTGAGTATCAGGACAAACACCCTGTAATATCTGTTAAGGGTAGACTAAAACACTTTATACAGTTTTGGAAAGACATTGATGCGCATGAGTTTATTGTCAGTACCATAGAGCACGGCTACATGTCATACCTTTAATTTCAACACCTGCTTGTTAAATCAGAACTAGAGTTTGCCTCGCATGCTATAGCCGATTTGGTAAGTAACAGGTGTTTTACTCAGGTTCCTTTTAGCACCCCATGCAATTAACCCTTTAAGTGTGGCATATGATAGTTGTTGTAAGAACAGTCTAATTTAAGATCTCAGGTTGGATAATTTGCAAGTGTGGAAAAGAAAATAAAGCTTGAAGAAGGGAAATAAGCTTTTGAATACTTTTATAACTAATCTTTCGTGTTTAAATTCGACCTGAAATCAGGTTTCCACCACATTGATAATTCCTGTTATCAGCAGAACTTTCTTGGGTTTTCATGGAAAGGCAGGTTAAACTGTTTTAATGTCTTACAGTTTGGTCTCTCGTCAGCTCCTTACATGTTGATTAAGGTTCTCTGACCATTGGTTAAGTTTTTGCAGGTGACGTGGGATCAATATAGTCATGTTCATCGATGACGGGTTTGGTAGTAGTTGACAAGAGGTAGCGTGTTGGTTTGATAGCGCTTTTGTTAAGGAAACGCTAGGTTTAGCAAGATTTCTGTTTAACATAGACAGGTCTGTAAGGGACCCATGTCAGCTGTTATCTTGATTAGGTTTAAATTAGAATTCTGCTGAATTTATCCCGTCTATCCCGGACACCAACCCTAACCCTAACGACCAGGCAGTTTGTTAGAATTACGGGTTTAGTTGTCTCATTTTAACCAGTTATAGGAACTATTTGTAGTATCCTGACACGACATTCTCTCATTTTTGTAGTTCGTGCTCATACTTGGGATTTCAAGGTTAAGGTCACCAGTGATCCGTTTATTTCAGTGCTGATTTATTGTCGCGATTTCATTTCATCACTAAATGTCAGACATTTAGCAAGCTATAGTGGCTACTCGGTTTGTATGATTTCAGATGTCAGTGGTTATACTTGTGGGGCTTACTCTGTACAAATTGATGAAATTATTTTTCACTAAAAGTTGACTTATGTTTTGCGGCTTATATGTCACATTTCGTCTATCCGCTTTGTTTCCTACGAATATTTCACTTTAGCGGGTTTTATCCTTTCGTTATAAGGCTTGGAGTTTTGGCAGGTTTTCGTCTTATAGTTTTTTAGCTTTGGCACTTTGGTGTTATTTCGTTATTTCCCTTTGGCGGGTTTTCGTCTTTTCGTGATTTTGTTATCATTAGCAGATCCTTAATCTTTTATATATCATTTCTTACTTCTTATCACAAATGAGTTGTACATGTATGCACGTTTTCCTCTTACGGATATATATTCAGGCAAAAATACATGTTATAATAATTTACAATTGAAATCCAAGGGATAACCGTGCATATTAATATGTTGATATTTAAGATTGTTTTTATAGTACTACGTAGATATTTGAAGGATTGTTACTGTAGTAATTTAAAGATAATAATTAAACATAGTATATATGATATTAACAAAACAAATAACAAACGAAATATCTGTAAATCCCAACTGTTTCGGATGCAGAACAGCTTTTATAGTGAATAAATCTACATAAATCTTATGGGATATTCTTACTTTGGAAAGACTGCACATTTTATCCGGACGTCTGCTCATCAAATCCTTTGCGGCAGCCATTTTTCTAAAGGTGTTTATCATCAAAATGCGTATTCCTTTGATTTTCTGTTCAATTCAAACGCTCATATGCCTCCATAGAATGCACCTATGCAATTAGTTCTAAACAATGCTTATTTTCAGGAGACTACACGT